CACATGCTTTGTTCTAGATCACAGTGACCATATAAACTGTGATCTTGAAACCATCTACAATGAAATTGTAGAACAATGTCAAGAAGAACTGACAAATATCTCTAAAAAAGTTATTCCTAATGTTGAAGATGATATTAAGTCACTTGGAGAGGAGAAAGAATATGCCAAGAAGGAAATTGCTAAGGTAAGGTTATCAATGAAAAGGAGAGCAGATATATTGAAGGAGGCAGTGGATGCAATTCTTACATAGGCAATTTCGCCACATATGATCCACATATGCATTGTTTTTCATATGAAGATCATATGAGGATCATATGAGAATCATATGTATATTCAATCATATGAGTATCATATGTGGCAAATCATATGTGGATCATATGAATACGCATATGTAAATCATATGAAGCAATATACATATGATACACATATGAAAAGTTCTGCATATGAGAATCATATGCATACTTTGAGAATTATCATATGAGAATCATATGAAACAGATCTGTGTGTGTTTATTTATTTTTCCTTGTTATAAGCAGGTAAAATTCATTTTTATTTTAATTCAATGAGATAAAAAAAAATACGTTTATTAACTGTTAATCAGTTAACACTTGAGTAATTTCATATTAAGCTTAATATGAATAAGTTGGTGTTATATTTTAACAAGTAGACTGCATGATTAAAAAATAATTTCAATAACATATATCAAGATGTGTAAATTTAAATGTATATTTATTCAAAAGAATCAAGATGTTCATTTCCTTAAGAAGCTTGGATAAAAAGGGAATAAGTACTCTGTTACCCCCCCCCCCCCCCCCAAAAATCCTTTCATGAAATTCAAAATTTTTTTCTTGAAAAACAAAATTCATCAAGAATAAATTGATTTGTATTTTATCCAAAAACCGTTATGATTGGATATATTTTATGAGTAAAATTAAAATCATTCCACATTTTATTTACGGACCGGTTTCGGTTTTTATCAGATGAAAGTGTACGTCATGTTTGACGTCACTTCTGCAGCAGAAGAGTTGGGTGTTGAAAAAAGTAAGTGATTTCGGATACGTTTTAAAAGACTTTTTAAAGGCCAGTTCATTGTGTTAAGATCATTTCATTACGGTAACAGATCCGTATAAACTTTCTAGTACTCTCATCACTTGTATATAATTGTTAAATTAATGCAGTTCGTAAAAAGCCGATAAACCTAGTGATCAATAAATTACTTATTGAATGAGTACGGTAATTTTGTTTGTTAACGACGAATGTTTAGGCCATTTAGCATCACTTATTTTTCAGATTTGTTTCCCTTTTGTTAATAGCTACGCTTGAATATTTATATTCGATATGAAAGTGAAAGTAGAAATCTTGTAAAGCAGTTAACGTAAAATGTTTGTTGAGATCGTTATTCATTCGGTTCTTTCATCAAATGAATGAGAAACGTGTTTTAAATAATGTATTTAGGAACTGAGTTCAGTGTCACAGAGCTGTTTTTGTATTTTTTTTTGTTTTGTTCAAAGAACCCCAAAGCTGATTAGACTGACGATTGAACACAAAGCTGATTTGACTGACGATTTAAACCCAAAGCTGGTTTGGCAGACGATGCATGATCACAATGCAGGTAAAAATAAATAAATAAATACATTAATCATCACAGTATATATAAGTAATGACTTAAACATATATCAAAAACTAAATAAATCCAACTCTTTTTCTATAGAACAAATCCAGCACACTAATAAAATATATATACATGTATAAGTATGAAAACATATGAAAATATGTAAGTCATATATTATAGAACTTGCTGGCTATAAAAACTATGAAGAACTATAAAACTATACATTATCTTCTGGGGGATAATGACTTTTAGCTTAATCAGACTTTCAAGGTACTATTACATGTGCATTGAAAGTACATTGTATACATTTTCATGTACTTTAGTTAATGATTTGGGGGTCTGCATCAAGCAGAAATGGATTATATATATTATATCTATTATTTTTTTTATATAGATTAAAAATTTGCAGAGAGAATGTCAATTGGCTTAAAAAAAGATTTAACATCAACCCCTGGATTTCTTTTAAGGATACAGAAGTACAGGTATGATGAATATAAATGCTAGCTAAACTACATGTATTTTGCAAGAATTGTGCATTTAAGTAGATGCACTGAGCATTTAAGTAGATGCACTCAGCATGTATGTCATGTTAAATGAAACTAATAAAGTTTATAGTCAATATGTATAATAGTGAACCATTTTTTCTTGAAGAATCTTAGTATGTGTTTGATGTATAGAAAAATAAATGAAAAATGCATTGCTTTATTCATTCAGGAGATGCTCAGCAATCTGGCAAAGAAGAATGGCTGGACATGAAATGTTATGGGAGTTATGTCTAGCTTTGGATCCACTGAATTCACATATTACAGAAATCAGATCAGAGCAAAGGTGTGCACACATTTTATTTATATATGTTACATATCATCCTAAGAAGTATCAAAGTCTATTGCTAAATTGAATTACCTTGTCAAAACAAAATTTTGCACTGCATTCCATTTAAGCTATACATTGTAAATTGAATTGTTTAGAAAAAATGTTTTAGCTGATGGGTAACAAAGAAGTTGATGTAGAGGGTCCCTCCATTAAGTCTCTACATAATTATCGATGAAAATGTTTCCTTCCTCCTACAAATTATGCTAACAAATCCAGAGAGGGAATACTTCACACTGATGCTAGTATGATGCTAGTATGAAAACAGTAAGAGTCAACATTTTAAATTGTAAAAATATTGATGTTAAACTTTAATGTTAAAATTTTGAGATATATATTTGTTTATTGGAAGGACATCTTTGCTAGTAAATATGATCAATGATAGAAAATTAGTTCATGTTTGTTGGATGTCACAAACAATTTTTCCAATCATATTCATCTTTAGAATCACTTGAGCCTTCAGCTCAGATGAGCTAAAAACAAGTACTTTCATTTTAAATGAAAGTACTTGTTTTTAGCTCATCTGAGCCGAAGGCTCACGTGAAGTTTTCTGATCAAAATTGTCCGTTGTCCATCATCATCGTTGTTGGCATAAACTTTTCACATTTATGTCTTCTTCTCCAGAACCACTGGACTAATTTCAACTGAACTTGGCAAAGAGGACCAATAGTAAGGTACCAGTAGGGGTTCAAAGTTCAATCTATAGATTATATAGGGTAAAGTCTTTAAAAATCTGATTTTCAAGAACTACACCACTACAATTTGTGATATTATTTTGCAAACATCCCTATGCAGTGTTGTTTCAAGTTTGTTGAAACAATGACCACTAAACCACCAGTGGGGCCCCTGAAGGGTTGCAAAGTTTTACATAGTAATTTATACTTGTGTATAGGAAAAAATTAAGTCTTTTTAACAAATTCTACATTGCTACAATAGTGGGGCCTAAGGAGGGAATCTTGAGTAAATTTGATCAGTATGGAACAAATATCAAAAAAAAACTTTTGCAATTTTTTGTATTGACACACATTTCACAAAAGCCACTTGTGTCAGAGTTAAGTGAGTTTGCCATTGTTTGCTCAGGTGAACAATGTGGTCCATGGACCTCTTGTTATTATTATTAATGCTAATTATTTTAAAAATAATTTTTAGAGATTATTCTGTGCCACAAACAAATTGTTCAGAAAGGGGACATTGGTGGATTTGCATTTTGGGTACAGTTCAAAGAATTTTCAATATGATGATGGAAGATCAGAGGGAGGACAAATGGGAAAAGTTGACAGAGAAAGAAAAGAATTAGGAAATATCTGGAATAAATATGAATGAGAAGGATGTACTTAATTTTGTCAGACTTTGACATGCAAGGCTTTCTACATTTATATGTATACTGGAATATCATTTTGATTGTAAAATCTCATTCTAATGTATTCACATTTTATATTTCATGCTTTATGCATAAATACATAAACATTTTTATGAAAAACTATATATATGTATATGTGTATCTTTGTTCGATCGAGACATCATCCTTTGTGATTTCATACTCATTTATGTGTTAAATATGCTGTAGGTACATGTAATCTGAATTACTTATGATTTGTCATAAATTTACAATAGAGACTACATATATTGACAAATGGTGTTGCAGATATTTCAATTTTGCTGAGGACACTTCCATGTCATATAGTATTTTTATACAAGTTCATGATCTAATTATGTTATTCATTGGTACATGTAATTTGTATACATGTTCATCTCCTTGATCATTTTGCTGAAATCCTTTCAAATAATTTGTACTCGTTTTAGAATATGTAAAATACATGTATCGACAAATGCTACTGACTTGTTTGTATACTTTCTTGTTTAAAGTGTGCACTGTGTGATATTAGTTATTTCTGTTGATGAAGATACTTTTGGAAAATTGTGCAAGCATTATCAAATATTTACAGGTATTTAACAGATCATTGGAATGTACTGAAATTTCATCTAAAGCAGAAATACCTGATTTTCAATGTGTACACGTGTGTATTTCCTTTTGATAAATATGAAAAAAAACAACACATAAATGTTTCATATGATAAACATATGATGCCCATTTCATATGATTCTCATATGTAAATGACTTGAAACACACTAAAACTTTTCATGTGCAAATCATATGAAGTTCTTTTCATATGATTAACATATGTGAATCATATGTTACTCATATGATTTGCTTCATATGATTCACATATGATGCCCTTTTTTTATGATTCTCATATGAAACCAATCATATGATCCACATATGATACACATATGTGGATCATATGTGGCAAAGTTGCCTGTGTACAGTTAATAATAAAAATCTAGACGAGATCGAGATCTTTGTCTTAGATGATCTGGTGGAAAAGGAAAAGAGAAAACAGGGATATATCAAATACTTGCAAGAAATAATAGATTATTCTAAGATTAAATTGCCATCAATACAACCCACGGAACTTTTCAAATTCCACATATTCATTATTCATTAGCTACACTGAAGATGCCTGACCTGTCAGAACCAAAACTACCAGTATTCTCACAAGGAACTCTAAATGAAGAAGAAATAGCTAAACAATTTGGCAAAATTAGAATACATTCATCTGAAGATATAAAGATGTCTTTTTCCGTCGAAAAAGTAAATGAGGTAGCTATTCATGATTTTAATATTTTTCATTTATCCCTTTTACCACCTGATAAATTTTGGGCATGTGATAACAGAGGGAACCTCATTAAGTGCGAAATGGAAGAACGTATTTTAAGGAAAATATCCACCAATACAGGGGCTAATCTCTGTTACCACACAGTTACAAGAGAAGGAGAACTACTTTTCACAGATATTTTGAAGAGAGCCATCTACAAAGTAAATGTTGACATGAACGCCAACAAACTAATGAGCACAGGGGACTGGGTTCCAGTGGCCATACACTCCTCGATAATCAACGGACACATATTGGTTGTGATGTGGAAAAATACATATATGAAAGTAACCAGATACAATAGAGAAGGGAAAACGCTACAATACATCCAGAGGGATGTTACAGGAAAGGATCTATACTTAGGTGTTGCCTACATCACAGAGAATTTCAACGGGGACATCTGTACCTCAGACTATGTTGCCAATAAGGTGGTTGTAGTGACTAAATTAGGACGGTACAGGTTCTCTTACTCTGGTAAGCAGTCCCAGGATAGATTCTGTCCGAATGGAATCTGTACAGACGTTATGGGACACATTTTAGTGTCTGATGGCTATGTGGATTCTCATTCCTCCAGTGTCCATCTGCTGGACATGGATGGACATTTTCTGTCTTTTCTACTCACACAAGATCAATGTCCGCCGTATCCCTGTGCTCTCTGTATTGATTATCATAACAATCTCTGGATTCGGAGTTTGAACAGTTCTACTGTCGCTGTATTCAAGTACATGTAGAACACAAATATAATTTAATGCAGAATTTCTATTTAATTCCAAGTAAATTTTTTTCATTATAACTTAGTTTTTGTGATGTTTCTGAGGTAAACAGATTTTTCAGAGGTATAATGCATTGTCAATGTATAATAAAATAAGACAAACCGCTGGACTACCCGGGAAAAATTTTAATAAATTTAAATTTTGACATGTTAATAGTTTGCTTGCTACAAGTGGCTCTCTCTATGCTTCAAATTCCACAGGACAATGGGAAAAACTTCAAGAGTTCGACTTTAAAGAGTGCGGAATTTTCCAGGTTAGTTGATTGGTCTTAAAATTCGTCTAACTTGATGTAATTTATTGTCATCCACAGCAGTGATATAATAAAACTTGTTTACTTTAACAACGAATTCCCTCTGCATTTTTATGTACATATTCAAATTTGGCTATAGATAAATTAAAAGACAGGTGTATTGTAATTCTGTTTATTGATTCCTTGTGAGAGAACATCGTTTTATGATAGTTACTCCAAAGAAAATGTAGCCTTGATATTCGACTTTACTATGTGTTTACGTGTTTGTTACTATCAAACACAGTTAAATTAAATATATTAGATAATATTCATATGGTCAACATATGTTCAACATATGTTACTCGAAACATATGTTGAACATACGTTGCAATTTTACCTGTGTACGTAAGGATGCATTTGTACTAATATGATAATCATGTCTTTGCTGCTCTTGAGAAGATTTTCACAGATATTTCCTATATAATCGTATGTATAAATTTAATCCCCTGTTGTGACCCCAACCTTTCCCCCCGGGGGTCATAGTTTGACACTACCTGAAGACATTTATTAATGTGACTAATCACGGCTTTGCTGTTCTTTAGATTTTAAAAGATTATTCCTATGCATTCCAATGTATAATTTTGATCCCATGTTGTGGCCCCACCCTCCTCCTCGGGGATCATGATTTGAACAAACTACGCAGTAACTTCTCTGAACTACTAAGATATGAAATCATGATTTAATATGACGTCAATTCACTGCAAACTTGAGCAATCATGACAGGGAGATTTTCATAAGGTTTACGTCTTACTTCAAATGAATACTGTGTTAAAATGTTAATATAATATTCACGTGTTTTAAGCTTTTGGGGGTGTGAAATTATAGTTGAATATTTAAGTGTCCATTTATTAGATTTCTCTTGATTGAAATTAATTGCATTCGATACAATATTGTAAAAACCTTACTTTTAAATGCTCCCGTTTACAGGACTATTGTTAAAGGTAGAGTATTATATGTGTGTGTATAACAGCCTGGCACAAGTGATTAGTAAGGATTAAATTTATTTATAAATATTTTGTGAAAATTCATAATAAGAGAATGTTCTGTAGATGACTCCTGTTTGGGACGGGAGTGCAATTGCTTCACTTTGATATAAATTACGAAGAAAAGTGGAAAATGTCCTCAAATGTATGGGTAATTGAAATTCTCATGAAATATTTCGTAATTTAATACATGTATTTCTAATAGCTGTCCCAAGCACTTTCCAGGTAAATAAAGATAAAGTGACTTTATTTATGTAACAAAATTTAAATAAAATTTGTATTAAGCACCGAAGCGATTTATGTGTAACACTTGAAAAAAATGTAATTGACCTTCACGTGATCAACCAGGACATGTGATAAAGCAACAAATGTGCCAATGTGTAAATGAGAGATCCTTTTGTGCAAATTGTCCATGTTTAGTTTTACAGCGTCCACATTGAAATAAAAACCGATCTGATAATGCAGTATGTTTTGAATGCGATTTAATGCTTTTGGCAGCCTTGACATAGCTGTTTGTGAGACATTATTCAGAACAGAAAATAACCAGATAGAACAGAGAAAGAAGGAAGTTACGGGACATACATTGGGATGATTAAAGACAAAAATTGGTCACATTGCTCTGTTTTTGCTTAACTATTACTATACTAACAGTCAACGAGTATTTCGATGTTGCTTAGTATGTCAATCATGGTATAGGCTCAAGTATTTACAGTAGCTTAAGTCAAAATACTGAATGCAGCATTTCAGTTTTACGACCAGATCATTCATTTCATCACCATTGTAATCTTTATCCTCACCTAACTATGAATAAGATAAACTTCAACAAAAACATCGTGTCATGGGGTTTGGTACACGTGACCTGGTTGAATGAAATTCAGAAAATAAAATGACACAGGAAAACTTAACCTGAACTATTTTAATTATTGTAAAAACAAAATCATTTCACTGAATTATACATATTAAGTGTATGTAAAGTTTGCGTCATACATATAATAAATTATAATGATTGAAAAACTGACTTTGACGAGTGTTCGCAAGAGGACTTCAATGCAACCATAACAAGAAGCCAATGGGCCGCATCGACCACCCAAGAACTTTGGCTTGGATCAAAATGTCAATGGGCCACAACGCTCACCTGAATCACTTTGGCCCTGTTGTTCTTCGTCAGATTTGTCTCCTATATCCTAGTGTATACGTATGTAAAATTTTGATTTACCTTTTGCGGTCACATCTTATATACAGGGGCCATGATATGAATAAATTCTTTAAAATCTTTTTCTTTTCTTGTGGCGCCACCCTATCCCTGGGAGTTCAAGATTTCAACAAAGCTTGAATCTACACAACTTAAGAATGCTTTAGCATAAAAATATGATTCATCATGGCTTCACTTTTCTTGAGAAGAGAAGCTATAACAACTTCTTATGAAATTCTATTTAAACTTAGATTGGCTATTGTGGCCCAACCCTACCCTGGAGGTCATGCTTTGAAGAAACGTCAATCTACAATACCTGAGGATTGATTGATTGTATGTTATTTTACGTCCCGTTCCAGAATTTTTCATTCATATAGAGACGTCATCATAAACCAGTGAAGGGCTTCAAATTTTGACCTTAAACTTTATGTTTAAAATAATTTTAAAATGAATGTTAAGTTCATTTTCCCGTATAATGTAATGCAAGATACAAATTATACATGTGAAAAAAAATTATACATATATTCAGAAAATTTGGTTTGCTTTTTGTTTTGTTTTTGTTTTTCTTTCTCTTTTTTCTAAAAATACTCTAAATATTGTTTTTGTTGAGCACTAAAACATTAAAAGACCCGTATTGGAGGGCGACCTGGCCCTCGATAATAGTTACAGTGGGAGTGATGGACTCATTTTCTTTTTCTTTTTTTATTAGAAATTCCACTGTAACAAGGGCCATGTTGTATATGTGTAGGTAATATTATTATTGTTATATAAAAAAAAAATAAACAATCAATTATATATGCATAAAATTTCCCTTTTTCCAAATGTTTTTTTTTTTTTTTCACTTTCTGAGCTTTATGTATCTATTACTGTGTATTGTGCATATATACATATATGGTTTATACAGATGTTTGGTGTTATTATTAATAATTTATTCCTTTTTGAATATAGTAGTATAAACAGTTGAAATGGTGTGATGGAAGAGTAATACGCCCTGTGTACTAAACAATGTTAATTAATGTATCATTTTAGGTTGATATTATTCATCAGTTGATTAAGTGTATTGTCATATCATCTCGGAGCTGTCTGTGTATATTACATAATATTATACAAATGAATATATATTTAATAAAAAAAAATGACCTTTTCTCGGCAAGGCCATTGAGCAGTGAGGGATCTTTATCGTGACAACGCCTGCCGTGACACGGGGCCTCGGTTTTAAGGTCTCATCCGAAGGACCCGCAACTTTCACTTGAAAGTGCCGAGCGCATGGTGTAGGAACAGTTGCCACCAAGTCGCGGCCGGGATTCGATCTTACGATCTCCCGATCACGGAGCGAGCGCTCTACCGACTGAACACTACCTGAGGATGCTTCAATATCGATATGACTAAACATGGCTTTGCTGTACTTCAGAAGAAGATTTCCAAGATTTTTCACTATATCTTCCTATATAAAAAATTGATTTCCGGTTGTGGCAATACCCTACCCCCGGGGGTCATGATTTGAACAAACTTGAATATCACTACCTGAGGATGTTTCCATATCAATATGACTAAACTTGGCTTTGTTTTAAAATTTCTTTATTTTCCCATGTAAAACTTTAATCCCTCATTGTGGCCCTGCTCTACATGTACCTCCAGAGGTAATGAATTTAAAAAAAAAATACTTGAATCTCCACTCCCTGAGGATGCTTCCAAATCAAGATAACTAAACATGGCTTTGCTGTTCTTAAAAAGAAGATTTTTGAAGATTTTTTCCTATATTCCAATGTAAAAATTTTATTTTCCATTTTGGACCCATCCTACTCCCGGGTGTCCTGATCTGGACAAACTTGAATCTATACTATGTAAAGAAGGTGTCACATAAGTTTCATTTTTGGCCCAGCTGTTCTTGAAAGGATTTTTAAGGATACCACCAGATTTTCACTATTTCTTAATTATTTCCCCCTGAAAGAGGATGTGGCACATAATTAGAACAAACTTGAATCCCCTTCACCCAAGGATGCTTTGTTGTAAGTTTGTTTGAAATTGGCCCAGTGGTCCGGTGAGGAAGTCAAAAATGTTTACAGACACATGGACGACGGACGTCAATTTAAATATTTTGACGTATAATATATTGAAAATTCGTTATAAAAGATGTAATTTTTGTTATTTTTAACCTGTACGGGACAGAAAATAAGTTCGCTAAATCCGTAAAATCGTAATATCAGAGTTCGTTATAACCGAAATATTTTCCTGGGATTTGATAAGAATTTCGCCGGGGATTCCACAAAACTTCGATATATCCTTAAGTTCAGTATATCCATGTTCGTTCATAACGAGTTTTTAGGTCTACTGAGTCACTCAGGTGACCTATTGTTATCCGTTTTTGTCTGTCGTCGTGCGTTGTGTGTTAATATTTGAACATTTTTAGCTCTTTCTCTGAGACCGTTTAACCAATTTTAATCAAATTTGGAATATAGCATCAATGGTTGATGGGAAACAAAATTTGTGAATT